ACACACACACACACAAACACAAATAAAGACTTGATACAAAGAGTATGAGGGTCTTCCTGAGCGAGGGCTGAGCAAAATAGCCCAAATATGCATGAGAGGCTGCTCATTTACGACTAGTGAGACTGAACCCGCGCGGTTTGGCTACTGGAGGCATTTTCAAGTCGTAGTCCGGTTGGAGTTGAGCATTGTTGGCTGTTGAAATGGGGTGTGAGTCAAAAGTGACCCTCTGGTATCGATGCAAGGCAAGTTGGCTGGCCGAGAGAAGCTTCCGTGGCAAGGAGCCGGAAGAAACGCTCTGTACCGGCTGAGAGTGAACAGATTCTGTTGTCAAGCTGGCCAAAAGTGGCAAGTCAACCAACGGGGCAACAGGAGGAAGGCTGTGATTGCCGCCCCCCTCTGAGGCAGTTATGCGACCGATTGTTGGACTTGAGCCAGAAGATGCTATGCTGAGACTGGCATTGACGTCGGTATTCGACGTAAACGATGGGTAAGTGGTAAAGCCGCAAGGGGCTCGAGCTCTTGTCGACGGTCTGGATTTGCCTGTATGAGTCGTGAAGGCCTGTAGGCCCGGCTGAGCGCCAGGCGGAGGCTGGTGATGCTGACGCTGTTGCTGATGATGTTGCTGATGGTGTTGTCTTGAGGGTGCCAATGACAGCAACGAGCCAGAAAGACTTGCTCCCATTGGCCGGGGTCGGACCATGCTGATGTGGGAGGCAAACTCGAGACTGTCGGTTGCTTCATGATCGCCACCGTCCAGTTTTGCATTTGTAGATGATACCAATTCTCGGAGGCCGGCAAATTGGCGAGCAGATTCACACGCGACAGAGCCTTCAAGACGGTCAGATGGTGCGGTGTAGTCGGCAATCGGTTGGTTGTTGGATGACTGGGTGGGATTAACGCTTGCAGGCAAAAGCTGCTGGCCAAGTTGCATTCCGGCAAATGGTGTGTTGTGGCAACTCGAATGGCCGACCGTTTTGGTTCGAATAGGCGGTACAACCCCAAGCCGTAGAAGGTGAGTGTCGTGCCAGTGTGAAGTTGTGCGGTTCGGCTGTAGACAGACGAACTCGCCCAACAGATCGCCAATTTCGGTAGTCCTGGTTACAGCCAGGATCGCGGCGTTTTCAAGAGACCAATTTGGAGAAGAGCACGGCTGGCCGGCCGGCGAAAGCCAATGTTGTTGGTGGCCAGAGAGAAGGCCAGGTTCACTTGGTGCTCGCAGGTTCAACGGAGAGGTCGACAGTATAGAGGCTAGGGACGGAGACTCGGTATCGGGAATCATCAAAGTGACGGGCAAATTGAGTCGAGAAGAGCCTGTCGGCTGGCCGGACAGGCCGATGGAAGAGATGCAATCACCGAAACAGGCAGCCAGTCGAGTTTCACCAACCCGGCAGCCCTTTGTCGTCAAGTACTCGTCAACTGGTGCTGCCTCTCGCCAAATGTCTCCCACTCCGCCAGGCTGCTGGGTCTTTTGTGCAAGCATCCTGGTTGTCGTGGGGACCCGGAGAATCGGATCGTCTGGACCACTTTGATAATGTTCATCCATCCGTTGGGAATGGGAAGGATTGTGCTGGCGGCTTCTTTGCAAAAGACGGAATTTCGTCCATGGCCGATGCGCCGAATGGGGCCGAGGACTTGGAGTATCGAGAGCTGGAGATAGCATATGAAGATGGCATTCACTGCCAACGTCCTGTCTCGTGGGAAGGCGTTTTAAGACATTGTCTGTCTCACCAACTCGACTGTCCACTTTCAAAGCTCGAGATCGGCGAACACGAGGCTTAGGCGCTTGGCTACCGGAAGTAGTTGCTTCAAATAGAGAGTGTTGGGCATCCACCGATGGTGGGCTCCAGACAGAGGCGGCAGGAAGACGGTGAATAGGCGAACCGTTCGAGGCGGTGTAGACGGTTGCATCAAGCGGTTCGATAGACGGAGTCGGATAAATTGGTTGGTGGGGTTCGCCTCCTATACAGGCTGCGTCTGACAAGGTAAAGAAGTGATCGGCTCTAGTTGTCTGTATCTGTTCACGCCTGACAGCATCATCCTCGTGGTTCGTCTACTCTTGGCGAAGGAGAAGCAGAGGAAAAGTGATCAGGCATGATTCTCACAGTACACAAAAGTGCTGTAAACGATCGGTACCAATGACGACGAGAAGTGGGTACAACAACAGAGGGAGTTGTGCGCGTAGACGGTAAAGTGAAACAAAATCGAGGAATCAAGAAATTACGGGTTAGGGTGAAAAAAAAGAAAATTACAATAAGAAACTGTGATTTGGGAGCCACCGAAAAAAGTTGGATGGACCGGACGGTCACTTCAGAAAAGACACCGCCGTCTAAATGGTCTAAACTCGAGACCGTGCAAATATTGAGAGTACAACGAATTATTGAAAAGGTGCAAAAGTAACTAAGAAATGACATTCATGCCGACAGAAGAGAGGAAGAAAGGTAGATTGATAACAGTAAGAAAAAAAATGAAACTTTACATAAGAAAAAAGCAGGAACAAAAAAATTTAAATTCAGTGAAAGACCAATGAACAACAAATTTGCACATCCGAGGTGTCAAAGGAAAGAAATCGAGGAACAACATTGAGAGGATAAACTCTCATTAAGTGTGTAAATAATAGTCTAAGCAATAAGCAAATAAGATTCACCTAATTTTTTGCCAAAAAGAGTTCAAGTTACGAGATAACTTTAATGCCGATCCGCGCCAAAGTCCCACAAACGGCCCGGAGAGGAGTTAAAGTCGATTTTTCTGCTACACTCAGCAACAAGCATCATTGTCCGGAGACAAATGTATCACAGTTAGATCAGAAACGATAGGACAAACTCACATTTTGTATTGGAATCAAGGATGATTTTGAGATCATCCTACTTTATTTTAATAGAAGTAACGTTGTAAACTGTAATGATGAGCAAAGGTTTCCATCAGCGACAATTCCACTATACCAATAAAATATGGAAAAAGACTAGCTAGCTTAGAAATTGCCCTTTATCCTTTGGCCGATTGCACGGGTGACAGTCTGGGGGAGTGGCAACATTTCGAAATTATATGCTGTACCTTGTCAACCCGGGCTCGATTTCCATTAAGGATGCTGATGATGGTGAAATTGCAGCCCACCATAAATGAGAATGACTTTTGGGGAACAAGGCCATGTGAAATTCAAATCCATCGTGAGGTTTACTCATACCACCGTGGGAAACTTCAGCGCCTTAATCGACCTAGGGTGAATAAGGATTGAAATCAAAGTTTGCTGTGAAGAACTTCATTTAGTATGAAAATGCATGATGAAGAGATTAGAGACTCAAACTTGGCTTTGTGTAAATTTGAGGCTTTTGTAAAAATGAATTTAAGCCCAGGCAATCTCTGTCAAATGGCATGATGGACGAAATCTCAGTCCGTCCTATTTTTAGTTTCTAGTTAGCATTTCATGACTACTAATAAATCAGTTAAATAATATAGAATTGACGTTTCCATTTTGGTAAACCAAAAGGTATTTTTATCCAGGCAAGAATGGACTGCAGATTCGACCTCGCTTAGGTCTTATCAACACCCCCAGAGGGAGTCGAACCATGACAATGCAACGTGTAAGCTCGACACGATAACCTCCGCCACATCGCCACAAGTGCCCTTAATTCACAGGGCAGATGTGAATCTCAAAAAAGTCCAGGCATTTTCACATATCACATACTTTGCTAGGATTGTCGATAAAGCAAAGTTATATGGAAATGGGTTGACCTCGTTGTCGTAACTTGGTCTTGTTGTCAGGGCGACTTAGTAGAACGCAACTAGTCCGAAGTCGTCTGCCATAGTAGTTGTCATGGTTCCCAGCATCTGACAGTTGACTTGATACATTCTCAAACGTTTTGCCAGCAGTATAGTCGGCATCATCAGTGAGTTTTACCATTCACCGCACCAAGCTACGAACTCATCAAAGAGACAAGTGAAGTCAATCCCTCGACAAACATTCTACTATCACTCCTCTTTCTGTCCTGACCTATCTATCTACTCTTTAACCTCTTATCCTATTGCCGCCCTATCACAACTTCTCACTTGTTTACATTCCAATCATCAAAATGTGTGCCCTTTTGTAGCAATTCTAGGAATTGGCTTCA